TTCTCCGCGCAGAAGGTCACGAATCGTCACGCTTGCCGAGCCCTGCCGGCCTTCGGGAATGTCCGTCATCCAACTTGATGAGCCTTAGCCGAGCAGCCTAACCAGGTCGGAGAGTGAAAATGTGGCTGCACTGTCACGCCCTCGAGGGCCAAGTCTTGTTTCTCCCATTTGTGCACCAGTGAAGGCTTCGGAGAATTGAGTCCTGGGTATCATGGGTGTGTATGAGTACGTCTGAGAAACATGAAAGGAAGCGCCCGAGGAGGAGCTCGGAGCGAGACTCATCAAGTTTGAATAGGGATGAGTTGCACCACTTCCTCCTGCAAGATCGCCGCAGTGACTCTGTGAATAAATTTGGTTCTTTTTTCTGCTTGTTTGGAATGAACTCGCGCACCTATTTGCCAGCTTGCAGCTTTATCGGGTGGAAAATGAGGGAGACATGGTCCTTTGTCCGAACACTAGGGTCTGTCCGAACACTGGGGTCGCGATAGTACCGTTCTTGATCGATTGATCCGTGGGAGAGAGACGCCTGGGCACAGGCGTTTCAAGCCCCGCAAACCACCTCGTAGTATACTTACTGCAACTACTCAATCTATGCAGCATTCCACGTTGCACTCGGTGCTCCCCCGTCAGATTGTATGGGCCTCCCTGACGCCGTAGTCTCTCGTCTTGATCGTCGACTGTCAAACGTCGGACCAGAGCCGGCATGAACCTTCGGTCGTTGGATAGTCTCTGCAATCAACGAAAATCTCCCCAGTCTGCATGCAGTGCCACCTGTATCTGCAGTCAAACGTTACAGCGCGCATACCTGCCGTGAGCCATGTATAAAAGCACCTCCAGGATACGTCTGGTTTCCTCACCAAGCTCAAACAACATCTTCTGAGCCTCAGCATTCTCTCCTAGCATCTCTCTCAACTCTCTCAACGCTCAAGTACACTCTTCACAATGCCCGACTGGCCTGCCTACCCCTCCGGTCCCTTCACCGGCGAGTTCGTCGTCGGCGGGTTCGGCGGTTCGCCCTTCCAAGCCTGCAAGTGGGTCATGAATCAAAGTGCGCTCGTCGTCAAAGGGCTCGACGTGTGGTACAACTCGGGCGTCTTGTGCGGCGTCCAGGTCACGTTTTCCGAAGACTCGCGCACCAGTGTTGTAATGTTACGGGTGTCGCCTGATTCACACAAGTCCAAAGTACACTGAACCAATCTCTAGATTGAGAGGGCGTATACTATGGTGGACGTGGTGAAAGGCTGAGAAGCCTTCGCCACGTCGCGCGGATCCAGATGGATCAGCGCCGATCACCATGACGATCCAGATGTAGATACAAGATGTAGATTAACTACATAGATTAGATAAGATAATGAACGATCCGTTACATTCTCCCCCTTCAGAACCTGTGCCAGGTTCTCATATGATACCAATGAGTAATAGGGAGTGCATGGAATAGCCATGTCCATATGAGAGGAGGGAAAAGCATAAGCGTCCGATAGGACGCGCGATGATGATGCGAGAGAGGAAATGTTGATGCGGCGGGCGTGATACGACATTGCGGGTGATGATGCGGTTGAGCGGGAGGCGGCGTGCCGGCAGGGCGACGCAACACGACGAGGGTGAGACACCCGGCCCCACACGTACAGAGGTGGTCAGCGTGCTCAGGCTGAGGGAGGTGACGGGCCCGGGGCATCGGTCGACAGTACTGTACCACTGGGCCCCAGCTCATCAGCCTGGCCCTCGCCAATCCCCTGCGCTTCTCCCATGGTTTCGTCGACGTCGACGCCCTCGATTACAAGGGGGAGAGGCGTGGTCGCGTGACCAGTGGTCGCGTCTGGGTTTTCCTGCAGCGCCGCGACTTGCAACGCGAGTTCCGCGAGCACGGGCACAGCTGTGACTTCGGCCATGGTGCGCGGCCATTGGAGGAAGGCCTCCGCTGAGTTGGGGTTGCGGCGCTCGTAGTACTGGCGCATGCGTACCGCCATTGGCTGCATAAGCGCAATGGAGGCCGCGCTGAGCCCGCAATGGGCGTACCAAGCCGCCAAGTCGAAAATTGACACGTTGGTAACCTGGCCCGGGTAGGGGAGCAGTCGCTCCACCGTATCTTCGGGGTAGTGGCCCTCGTCGACGATTCGTCGATAGAGGCCGGGGATCGAGAAGAGTTGGGCGGTGACCTCCAGGAACCGCGCGCGCTCGGCCGACTGCTGGGCACCCTTGAGCTTGGGGATGAGAGCGCGCAGGAGGATGTGGCCCCGAGTGTGATCCCGGGTTGGTCTTCCCAGCTGAGAGGGAATGGGGAGGTACACCGGCAGGGTGTCGGGGTACTGGTGCCAGTACTCCAACCACCTCTCCGGCGGGTCCGTCCGGCTCGGGTTCCGCATGCCCGGGTTCCTCTCGATGTGAGAGGGGTTCGAATGAACCGCTTCTCTCCCGAAGTCGCGAGCGCGACGGGCTTGCGATCGTGTCTCTGCCCGGTGCGGGTCCGACCAGCTCATCTTGAGCTGGTGGAGGTAGTTGAACGCGCCCAGGGCTCCGTTCGCGTCATATTGACAAAGGAGGTCGCGTACACGATTGTACGCGCCGCCTCCTTGAGCCCTGGCCGACCGCACCAACTCCCAGTACTGGTGATGGTTCAGAGGGACGTAGTCCGACCAGGCATCAGCTGCCTGGACCGGCGTTGCCTCCGGCCACACAGACATGTGGGGCTGGTGCACACCTCCTGGTACACGCGGAGGGTCCAGTCCGGCACTCGGGCCCAGCGCAGGAAGCGTCGGCGCAAGAGGCGGGGGTGCCGGTTGTCGAGGCGTGGTCCCTGTCACTTGGCTGATCAGCCGCTCCCGGGTCTGACGCAGGACGGCGCGGTTCGCATTATTGAACGCGCGCTGCTTGCCCTTCTTGATGTTGTAGCCCTCGGACTCGCTGTCGACGTCATCGTCCTCCATATCGGAGTCGAACGCCGCCTCGGGGCCGAGGCGTCGCGAGCTCGAGGACGAGCCTTGCGGAAAGTTGCTTGACGGAAAGGGGGGTGTGGGCGACGACGATGACGTCGTGTTCCCAAGCAGGTTCGATGGAACCGCTTGAGACGTGGATCGCGACATGCCCGATGGCCCCGGGCGCGACGGCTCGCCTCGCGGGGGGGGGCGTAGTAGCGGTCCCCGCGAGGGCCGGTTCGGAAATTGCTGGTGCGGAGGAGGACGAGGTGGTGTGGGCCGTGGTGGAGATGAGCGATCTCGACGCCGAGGTCCCGGGGACAGGGATCGAGAGCGTCGATGACGACGCAACTCGTCTTCCAGTCGCCTCGCCCTATCCTCGTGGTGCTCACTGGCTTCCCAGGCTTCATTCACCCGGGCCTCCAGGTCGTCGATCTCACGACCCCGGTCCTCTGACTTGCGGCGGAGGAGCTCGTTCTCCTTCTTCAGCCGCTCGATCTCCTGTTGGAGTTCGGCCGGCGTCCCTCCCCCTTCCGAACCCTGCCATCGGCGGAAGTGGTCGTAGAGCCGCTCCTGAAGGGCGGCACGTGCCGTCCCATTGGCTTCCGCGAAGGACGTGTCCGTCCTCGTGGCGTCCTGGATGTGGTGCGCCCAGGTCGTACAGACCGGGCATCCTTCTCGGTGCACCAATGGTGCCATGTCGTCGCTCAGGACGATCCACTGCGACGTCGGCCTCGACATCAGCAGTGGCGGCATCCCCGGGGGCATGGATATGGAGGTCGGCGCTGGGGGGACAAATGGTTGGATGGGGCCCGCGTGCGCCGTTTGCGGCGCGTAGCCCATGTACGAGGGTGTCAGCTGGTACCTCGGATCGAGGCCCATCAGCATGCCCATCGTCGCGCTCGTGTTCCCCTGGAACATAGAGGGCTGCGCGATGTTGCCCTGATGCTGCCCATACGTCGACGACGACGCGTGAGGGCTCGCGTGCATGGGCGGAGAATGCGCGGCGAAGCCAGAGGCCATCGGTGGTCCGTGCTCCACTGGAGCCGGCATGGCGAAGTGCGGGTTGGCCTGTGGTAGCTGTTGCTGCTGTTGTTGTTGCTGTTGCTGACCGTCGAGGTCGACGGTCATGGGGGCGAGGTGCTGGTGCTGGGGCTGTTGAGCGTCCATGGTGGTGGTAGCGTCGAGGGCGACGTTGAGCTGGGGGCGGGCGACGGCGGCGACCTTATGCCATCTTTTGACGGGCCATGAACTAAGGATGATTGAGATCGGATCGGATCGGCGCTCGTTCCGTCCGATCGGTATCGCACCGTGTCACGATCACGTGATCGACGCGTCGCGTCATTCCGCCTTCTTTGGCAGGGCGCGCCAGTGCTTGACGCCGTTCAGCGCCAAGTACTCGTCCACCGCTGCTAACTTACTGCATTCCGCGTAAGGTTCCCAGCTTAAGTCGTTGTGCGTCCATCGGACGCGCAACTCTAACTTATTACCCACCCATCGGTGGTCGACGATTTCGTCAACATACCACTCTTGCTCGTCGTTTGCCCCTACATCGTAGAATGCACTCGAGTCGCGATGAGGGAACAGAACGTCATCGTTCGCCTCATGTCGTCGTAACAGCGACACATGGAACGTAGGATTGATCCTCCGATCTTTCATATCCTGTGGTAAATCTAGTGTATATGTAGACGTCTCAGGATGAGCCGCTATTACAGTGTAAGGACCAATATATTTTGGTATTAACTTCCTCGCTCTCCCTTTCGGAAACGACAAGTTTTGAGTCGACAGGAATACTAATGACCCGACAGCAATGTCCGGCTCCTCTTGTCGGTGCAAGTTCGCGTAATGCGTCTGTGCGACGCGCGCAGTGAGAATGGTGTCGTGCGCAATCAATAGATTGGCACGAGCCCTCTGCGCAAATGCTCGGACTCCTTCGAACTCGGTATCCGAGCGGATGCCAGCCATGGTTCGCGGTAGGTAGCCGTAGTTCAATTC